CCCCACTTGACCCCCATTCCCATTTAAAAAAATTTGGGGGATGGCACCCCCACTTAGGGGGTTGAAGATTTTGCTATGCTTTTTGCACCAAAAGTTGTCCCCCTCAGAAGCAAACTTTACCTGTTTTTGGATTTTGCCGAAAAGTTCATTACTACCCTGTAATGCCTTGCGGTACGTTTTCGATGGGCTACCCTGTATACGTCTGTTGGTAGAAAAACCATGGCACTTCTTCAGTAGAGAAGAATATCTTACACGTGATTTACAATTAACTAAGCGTTAGGTACCTATGGCTAAAGACGATCTCAAATACAACGAGAGAAAGTTGGCTTGATATAGCAGGAAAGAAATTTCAAACATTCAGTGATCTGAAAACAGTGTAATGTTAAGATGAACATCGAAGAGTTTAGAGAGTTCGGTAAAGCCAGTGTTGATTACATCGCGGATTATTTCGAAAATATAAGGAAAATGTAAGTAAGCGATACTAATTTCTTGATAAAATATAGATATATGCATGATAAGTAAATATATTAGGTATGTGAAAGGAAACAGACTACATCGAAGTAAAGTGCAATGTATGTTAATTTTTAAAAAACAATAGATGTACAATTTTTTAATACCGAAATATGAAAAATTTGTTAAATTTCATCTGAGTTTTTGATAAATATACAAATTGTTAATAGAATAATATCCACAGGTTTTACATAAGTCAAAGATTTATGTTAAAGGAAATCTAATGATTTGTAATTAAATGTAAAAATTTATTGAATTCGGATATAAATATACAGGGTGTTTCAGCTAAGAGGGAATCTTCTGTAACTCTGTAACTGTAAAATTTATAAAAAAAATGGTTTTAATAAAAGTTGTGTGGAATCATGTGGGTCATTTTTAGCTTCATAGGGTGAAGTAAATTTACGTAGCGCCCACGCAAAATGGAACACCCTGTAAAGTTAAAAATATTTTCTTTACATGAACCACATGATTCCAGACAACTTTTATTAAAACCATTTTTTTTTATAAATTGTACTACAGATTTACAGAATAATTCCTCTTAGGTATATACCAGCTCTCACTGAAAAACCCAGAATCTTGAGGAAACCAGTTATTTTGAAAATTGGATCACTGTTTGTAACTTCTTGTAGTGTTGCAAAGAAAATAGATTCGTCTCATGTTATTTGAAAAACGAACAATTTTCGATTTAATATATTTTTTGTATTTTCATTAATGTTACCAAACATCTTACAAAATGTACTCTGGAACTACCCGTTTCTCAAAAAGTTCTTTTTTTTGCTAGAAATACTATTTTAAATACAAAAAATTATGAGAAGTCCGAAAAAAAATTTACCCCTCGGACTTCTCTCATGATTATATTGTGTTTAAAATCGTAATATTTAGGAACATAAATCATATGAACTTCTCTGTGAAACAAGTGGTCTAACATCACGTTAAATTTAATGAAGTTAAAAAAATTATTAATAAAATGTGTTTCTTTTTTAAAACACCATAAAGAGTTGAAAATAGTGACAAAGTTTCCAATTATTTAGTAACGTCGAATTTTAGAGGTTTTAGTGAAAGTAACCCCCCGGTATCTCCGCCACTGGACCACGTACTGATATTCTAATCCATTAGATTGTTACCTTTAATTAGATAAATCATTAGCCTAAGTTTCGTCATTATATATCAATCGTCCTCAGAGATAACTTAGGAAAAGTGATTTTGTTCAAGTTTCAACACCCTGTATCTAGAAAATTATCGATTTGCGAAACCGATATTTATCTTATTAGTTCACTCAAAGAAACACCCCTTAAAGTTTGCTGACATACTTAATTAACACCCTGTATATTTGATTTCTTAAATAGGACAAGTTGTGTAATTTTAATGTAAAGTGAAACTTCTACCATGCAACCACTTCTAAGATAAATACCTAACAGTTACTTACATATATACTTAAGTAGTCAATTAATGTTTAAAATTTCACAAAAAAATTCTTGTCACAAAGAATTTATTCAGTCGTTGTTTTTCTTTAATTTTAACCTCCAACAACTCAAGTATATATTCTAATATTTTTATTCATCCTTGCACTCTAAATATATTACTACTTTTTTGTCAATTTCAGAAATGTTATGTCAAATGTTGAACCAGGATATCTCAAAAAAGAACTACCTGAAGAAACGCCCCTTTCTGGCGAATCCTGGCAAAAGGTCCTGGAGGACGTGGACAAAGTCATAGTTCCAGGCTTAACACATTGGCATTCTCCAAATTTTCACGGATATTTTCCCACAGCCAACTCTTTTCCTGGCATAGTGGGAGAACTGTTCCTCTCGGGACTGGGCTGCATTTCCAAAGACTGGGTAAAAATAGCTCAATCTTGGAATACAATTTAATATCTATTTTAATACCTCACTACCTCACTCAAATTTTAGGAAACAAATCCTGCTTGTGTCGAATTGGAAGTCAGAATGATGGATTGGTTAGGGAAAATCTTAGGGCTTCCTGAAGAATTCTTAAATGAGACAGAAGGTCCTGGTGGGGGTATAATTCAGGTATGTTATTTTTTGTTTGGTTTAAATTACTATATTCATTTTCCTGATATTTTCTCTGCCACCAAATTAGTCAGAATTAATACAAAATCGTTATTGTTTTTTTTGCATATAGACTGCCATATTTCTACAAATATTTAAACAATTTCTTAGAAATTCCATTCACCAACTTCAATCTTCTCATGTCTTTAAAAATCTTATCCAATCCTGCAATTTGTCGTTTCCATTTTCAACTTTTCAGAATGCTGCTAGCGAAGCAACGCTTGTTGGACTACTGTGCGGAAAAGAGAAAACTGTCAAGGACACAGTCCTATCCTCCAATTTAACAGAAGAATATATCAGAACAAAACTGGTGGCTTACACCTCAAAAGAATCCAACTCTTCCGTTGAGAAAGCTGGACTGTTAGCATCTGTTCCGATGAGACTACTACCAACGGACGAAAACGGTAGTCTTCGCGGACATACCCTTTTTACTGCCATTAAGAAAGACAAGGAAAGCGGGTTGATACCATGCTGTGTGGTTGCAACTTTGGGGACTACTGGAACTTGCGCTTTTGACAACCTTGAGGAAGTAGGTGAAATTTGCCATAAAGAAGGTGTGTGGTTGCATATCGACGCAGCTTACGCTGGTGCTGCTTTTGCTTGTCCAGAGTACAGATATCTGATGAAAGGTGAGGCAGAACACAAGTTTCAAATACAGTTACTACTATATTTTCTAACCATTTCTTCCAGGGGTAGAAAATGTGGATTCCTTCAACTTCAACCCCCACAAGTGGATGTTGGTGAACTCAGATTGCTCGGCTATGTGGTTCAAGGACACCAAGAGCGTCGAGAAAGCCTTCAAAGTCAAATCTACCCTTCCCAAAGTCCCAACTTTCGAGCCTGAGATACACCACTGGCAGATACCCACCACCAGAAGATTCAGGGCCCTGAAACTCTGGTTCGTACTGAGAATCTACGGCGTGGAAGGCATTCAACAGCACATCCGGCGCCAGATTGGCTTAGCTAAGTTCTTCGAGCAACTGGTAACGAGCGACGGGAGGTTTGAAGTGTGCATTTCGAGTATGGGACTTGTATGCTTCAGATTGAAGGGGGAGGATTGTTTGACCAGAGCCCTTTTGGACGGCGTTTCTAATAGAAAGAAGATATTTTTAATGCCTTACATACTTAGGGAGAAATTGGTTGTAAGGTTTGTGATATGTAGCAGGTTCACGCAGAAGGACGATATTTTGTTTGCTTGGAACGAAATAATATCCGTAGTGGAGGAGGATGTGTATCCTTGCACCAAAAATATGTCCAAGGACATGACTATGAAGCAGAAGGTTAAGAAAAAGTCCAAACCAAGTATTCTGAAGAGTCTTGATCCTAGTAACATTCGTAGTACTATATAGTGCATAATATCAAATGTAGAATATAGAAGATATTATATTTTTTGTTAATACTTCGTATTTTTTTATTAAGTCGAATTTATATACAGTATGTCCGACGACTGTGTCCAGAAGAGAAAATTTTTTTTATTTAGTATAAAAAATGCTGCTTATTATCAAACTCTTAAAATTGTTACTTCTTCTTTGGTATTTTATAGAGGGTGTAGTTTTTTGAAAAATTTAAATGTCATTTCAAGTAAAGTAGATACCTAATTTTTTTGGGATATAGAAAAATTCCAGTAAGATGCTGTTAATAAGTTCAAGAAGATCGTGAATATGAAGTTCCAATTGCCTTGAAAAAAAAAAAAATATTATTATCTTATTGCAATATCTCTGATGTGGTTGAGACACACTTATGATTGTAGTAAGTATTTATTTATTTTATTTATTTTATTTATTTATTAAGTATTAAAATGTAGTCTAATTTGTTTTTAATTTAAATAATATAATTAAAACAACTAACGTTAACAAACATCTAATCACATTTAAATAACTGATTTTTATAATACAAATGGAGAAAATGAATACAAGGAAAAGTATTTTCAGATTAACTATAATTGCGTTATTTTTGCTAGTTTGTGGCATCCCAGATGATAAGCCTTTATTTTTCTTCGCCATATCTAGTAGCTGAAAACGTCAAAAGTCAAGCCCTAAAAACACTCAATTCACAAATGTCACCAAACTCGTCATATCCCTTCAAACTTAAATTCCAGTAACTAAAATGATCTTCCGAGTACTAATGAATCTAAAGTACAACATTCTGAAATCTCCAAGGTAATTCTAAGACACAATTCCTTGCCCACTTACAGTTTCACAATTTTGGATTGACTATTTATTCGCCTTTTAGACAGATCCAAATACTCTTAAGGAAATATTGTTCTAAGAAGGAAAAATCCAGCAAAAATGAATTCCAGGTGTGTACCATTTCTGAAGGTATGGTGGATCCGAGCAAACCCGAACCTTCGGTGGTCATCATAGGTGCGGGAATGGCAGGACTTTCGGCAGCACACAGGCTGGTGCAAAGCGGTATTAGTAACTTTACGATTTTAGAAGCAACCGATCGGTAAGTACATACAATGTTAAATACAAAGCGAGATATTTACAGTGTCTATAGAGTATAAGAATCCAAAACAATATTTATGTTGATGAGCTTGTGAATGTTTATTTATTTTATTCACATCCAAAACAACCAATAGGATTTATTCAGTTACGGAATGAAAAACCATAATCACAATACAGACAAATAAGTACAGGAGGACTATGACTTAAGTCATTAAATAGTTTGCGATCTGTAAAAGCATGATTCTATGAGGACCTTCTACTTTCTAGGTAAGTGAAAAGACTATAACTTTAGACCCTGGTGCAAGAAGGAGAGGCAAATCACTTAAGAATTTTTTTTAATAAAAAATATGGCTAAGTAGCCTTAATCGGCATCGTTTACAACTGCATCATTTTACATTTCATCACTTCATAGTGTACAATTATTTTTTATACACACATAGACGTATTCAAAATGCCTGAAAATGATGAAAAGTCAGTCAGTTTTGACACTGCTAATATAATTAATTGGTATATAGTATAATTATAATACTATTTGTGGGCACGAGGGAAATATTTCAATTACAATAATATTTTTAAAAGCACCCGCTATAGTGACGATCATTGTCTCGGTTTCCATGAATTCATTATTGATATTTGATATATCTGCAAAGCCTCAATTTTTAATATCAATTTTTAATTAGATTAGGCTGTGACAATGTTTAAAATTGTTAAAATGATTGATAAGCAGGTACTATTTATCTACCACAATTAGCCTTGTCAGTAACTGACCAATATTCAACGTCTTCAGGGTTTTCATAGCCCCCTAGATTTTTGAACTTGAACAGCAACTTAATAAACTTTAAACCAATATGAAAAATATTCTACATATATTATAGATTAATCAAATCTGATATTTTAAATGAACGAACAAATTTGAGGTGATGTTTTGGTTCTTAATGGGCCACACTGTATATTAAAAGTGTACTGGGGAATTTACAAAACATTCTACTTCCTTATCTTTTGTCTTTCTATTTAGAGAAAATGATAGACTAAACAACTTAGTGTTGCATTTCGAAGGATAAACCAAAATTTGTTTCTTCAAATGGAACACCCTGTATATTTCTCGTGTCTCGGATTCCTTTCCTTTTTTACATGTTATCAGAGTCTTGTAACCAGTGTGTGGGTTATTTTCTGCTGTTAAATTTACTAAATAAATCGATAAATTTCCTGTTATATATCTTATTATAAAAGATGTCCTGTTCATCCTGCTATAGTCAAAGGACATAATATGTTTCAAGTAAGTCTTTTTATAATGTTCTTTTGTCCACCTTAATGATGATACTAACTTCGTTCGATATTTTCTCTCTCAGGTCATATAAATTATAAAATCGTTCTTTGTTTACTTTATCTTTCAGAATTCCCCCTAGAACTACTTGGAAATCAAATTAGGACTTTTTGATGATCATAAGAAAAATTTTAAAAAAAGTCTTGTCTAGAACCCAACGGGGTTATTATAAAATACCTTATACAGGGTGTTTCAGCAAACATGGGCCAACGCTCGGGGGCAGATTCCTAGCCTAAAAACAAGATTATTTTTTCATATCAACATGGGTCCGCTAGGGTGTCAAAGTNTTCTATTTAGAGAAAATGATAGACTAAACAACTTAGTGTTGCATTTCGAAGGATAAACCAAAATTTGTTTCTTCAAATGGAACACCCTGTATATTTCTCGTGTCTCGGATTCCTTTCCTTTTTTAAATGTTATCAGAGTCTTGTAACCAGTGTGTGGGTTATTTTCTGCTGTTAAATTTACTAAATAAATCGTTAAATTTCCTGTTATATATCTTATTATAAAAGATGTCCTATTCATCCTGCTATAGTCAAAGGACATAATATGTTTCAAGTAAGTCTTTTTATAATGTTCTTTTGTCCACCTCATTGATGATACTGACTTCGTTCGATATTTTCTCCCTCAGGTCATATAAATTATAAAATCGTTCTTTGTTGACTCTATCTTTCAGAATTCCACCTAGAACTACATGGAAAACAAATTAGGACTGCTTGGTGATCATAAGAAAAATTGATTAAAAAAAGTCTTTTGTCTAGAATCCAACGGGGTTGTTATAAAATACCTTATACAGGGTATTTCAGCAAACATGGGCCAACGCTCGGGGGCAGATTCCTAGCCTAAAAACAAGATTATTTTTTCATATCAACATGGGTCCGCTAGGGTGTCAAAGTTTTAAAATAAAATATGTTTTTAAATGAAATTTGGACAACTAACAATGTATTTACAACCGAATACCCATTTTTAGCTATTATTATGTTGAACATGAATTACAGGACCGGACTTACTTGCAAGCCCTTGGATTTAATCAACGCAAAAATTTGTTCTCCGTTGAGATATTTAATTTATAATTACGTAGGTTAAATTCTAGCTCAATTTTGATTGAAACACCCTTATAGTAAGTTTTTTTCTTGATAAAATATTTAAGAATTCTTTTGGTAAATTAAAAGCGGAAAACCATAAATATGTACTGCCCAATGCCCATGGCAACCATAAGTTTATCTATTGCGAAGGCTTAATAAATAAATCAAAATACTGTACAAACTGACAAAGCAAATATACGACTTTGAGATCGAATGAAAGTTTTATAAAACTAGAGCCGTTACCATTTCTTTCTAAATGGAAGATCAAAAAGGTAAAGGAGGTGGCAGTTTATGCGAATATCCCTACAATACATATAGGTATCTAGATTTTTTAAACATTAAAATTGAAAAAATTCAGGAAATCGTTTTAGAAAATGTTGTTTCTATAGTACGATCGTATTCGATGCAAAGTAATAAATCATTGCCTGTCAAGGGAATCAGTGCAACACATTTTATAGGGGGTTTTGAAGATTGAATAATTTCTTTATGTATTATGGATTAACAGTTATATATTTATGAAGGACAAAATGAAAAATAAAGGCATCTCCTTCGCACATTGGGCGGCAGGACAACAATACATTTATTACTCCCTTCATTATCCCTCATATGACTTGCGTCTTGTGTTTTTTGCGGCGGCGCATGTGCCGGCCTGGCGTGGTCAGTTTCGTTTCGGTTGTACTGGTGCTGCGTGTTTCTCGCTCGCGATATTTGTGAGGTTATAACTGTTATAAGTGCAATTATATTTCTTTCGGGCTATATGTGTGTTTCGCGCTATTATTTGAGAATTTGTGAGTGAAATCATATTTCTTGTGCTCCGTAACAAAAGTGTTTTTAGTGTTTTATTTGTGTGCTGTGTGTGTGTTTCGGGCTGTTGTTTGTGAATCGTGAATGCTATTATATTTTCTGTGCTAGTAAAGTGAAGTTTTTTGTATTATTATTGCTCTGTTGTCGTTATATGGATAAATGGAGGCGGTGCCTGGATGTTCGCGAGCCGGATGTACTGCTGTGGGTACAAAAAAATCTATATTAAGTTACAGAGAAAAAACGATAATATTAAATGTCTATAACCGTTTAGAAAAGGATCATCCCATGAAACTGAAGACTGGTTTGGTGGAAATGTGTTCTAGATATACTGGAGTAAGCGAATTATCTGTTTTCAAAATTTTAAGAGAGAAGAAAATTGAAGGAGATGTTAAGAAACCTAAAAAAGGGGGTGCAAAGAAGAAATTAATATTAAATGAAGATGAGAAAAATGCAGTTTGGCGTACAGTACATAAATCATAGAATTTATATTTTGTTTATAATTTGTTAACATTTCTTGTTTGATAGAAAAATAACTTATTTTGTTGAGATTGGTAGAGAATTGTTGTTAGTGTTTTCATTTGATAGAATCATATCATAGGATTTATATTTTGTTTTCATTCTGTAAATATTTATAGTATATCTGTTATACAAGGTTTTTGCTTTGAAACTTCGTTCTCCTTATAAAAAAAAAAGAACCGTAATGGGGTGCGATGAAGAGATCAGTTCACGTCTGGAACCCTGTTCCTACAAAAATCCCTTTATTCTCATAAACTATTTGTTTTAAATGTAATTTATTATAAATCCAATTCGTTATGTAAATTCCACATATGTACTACATTTCACCTCTGTACGCGCCACTGTTTATTGTTCCCTGCTCTACGATCAAGCTCGCCAGGTTAGTATTTGACGTATAACCGACCACTTCGTACACTCGATGCACCTGGCCGACTACAGCTAGTACCAGAACACAGTGCGTATACGGCGGTATTTCAGATTTTACATTCAATTTCATTTTAAATTTGAAACGGTTCATCTTACGCCTCCTAAAAATGATGACACGATTTTCCTTTGATAAAAGACCGACAATTTTTTGCTCTACTTTGCATCGTATACGATCGTACTATAATGCATTCTAATAATATTGGGTTAGCACCATAACTTTCTGGTTTTCCTATTGTTTCATTTTTGAATTGACTGAAGTAAATGTTCCAGGCAACTTATAAAACACCAATTGAGTATTTAAAGTTGTATCACAAATAGAACCACACGCCCATCTACAAGTCAGGAGCTGAATTTATTTACATATCACAAGAAGCTACCTATAAACATCGATCTCACCGCCATCTCTTGCTAAATAGCTAAAACAATCACGTGAGGCCTACAATGTTAGAATTTTCACCGAGATTTCTACTGTTTCAGACCCGGTGGCAGGATTCATTCCTGTTGGTTGGGCGATGTGATCGCCGAGATGGGTTGCCAGACTATTCACGGCGCCTGCATCAGCAACCCCGTTTATAACCTGGCCGCACAGGAGGGCCTCCTTAGAAACCCGGTGAAGAGGGAGGACCCTCTAAAGGGGGTGTTCTGTACCAGCGACGGCAGGGCTGTCGAATCGGCCGTCTCCACGATGGCCTTTCATGTGTTTAAACAAATCCAGGAGGAAGCCGCTAGCTTATTCCACATGGGCTGTGGGAAGGACCATGGATCTCTGTATAACTTTTTAGGTAATGTAACTGAAAGCGTCAACGGTCTCTTGGAAATAAATCGAGTAGGTATGGGTATGGTAAACCAGGTGGCCGTTCAATAAATAATCTTCTGTATAATAAACTTAAAATCTTAATACATTTTTTTGTTTTTGAGTGAAAATAATGGAAGTTCTCTTACACAATTTTTCATTATGTTGCTCTTTCTCGGGGTACAGAATGTCTAAATTACAATTTAAAAACATATTTTTATTAAAATTGTTAATAATTGAATCTTTGTTCCCATAGTTATGACAAAAATCACTTATTAGTGTCTAAATAGTGACTTATTTGAAGTAAAAAAAATATTTGCTGGTATTGTCATAAAATTGCTATAAAAAACGTTTGCTAGGGTAAAAATTGTATCGCAATAAGATGAGATTGCAACAATAAACAAAAAGTTTTATCAAAACATTTTTTCAAATAAAAGATATAACTGAGAGCATCTGCTGGCCATTGCTACTGACTGTCTGGGATCTGCAAAGAGACCAAAAAGCACTATGAAAGCATGGCCAGTGTTCACCATGCGAAGACGAAAGTAAAGTTTTAAGTGATGATATTGCCAGAAACAACTACTCTACGAGCTATTTGCCCCGACTAGCATTAAATTACAACAGCACTATCATTGTTAAATACAGCTAGGATCAATTCGTCGGTCGAACACACCAGACATATACCGGCTTAAGCCTTGTTAGCCCTATCAGTATGCCATAGATGGGATAACTGACGAATGATCCAGCTTTGAATGCAGGAAAGGAATAAGTAAAAATGTAACTGACAGTTATCTGGAGCTCATTTACATAAAACAGATGTTTTACAAGTGTTAAGCAATTTCTACTTACGGCTAAAAGATATTTCCCTCAGAATAAAAAATACATAAATGTAAATTATACCATTATTTTCACCAATGAACCTGTGGTTAATGGTTTTAATATACAAGGTGTTCTACAAGCTCTATGACAAACTTTGACAGATGGTAGCTTTCAAACAGTTTTTCTTGAACATGAATATTCGATTCGTTTTTGTTTAGAAGGGGGGGGGGAGGGTGTTCATGGGCTTATTAGGTTGGGATATAATTGGGTTAAATGTTTATGGGATTTGGTCAATTGGATTTAGTGTTGGAAGCTTGAGTCTTAAGGTTATATGGTTTAATTGTTCAATTTGTTTGTGGCTATGAAAAATTCTGAGGTGATGGGTTTAAATGGACGTCAGATTCGGATTCAGCGACCCAAAAAATGTTGAATAAACATGGTCCGACTGACCTCTGGGCCCGAAAGTCACTTTTTTTGTGCGTTATTGTTATAGCAATCATCATGTTTATTTGTCAGGCTACTAACTGAGATATGAAATTATATTTTAAAATGTTTGTAACTTCTAAACAAAAACGAATCGGACCAATATTCATATAAAAAAAATGTTTGAAATTAACCCATCTGTCAAAGTTTATCATTGAGCTTGTAGAACACCTTGTATATTTTGTGTTATAAAAATGTGATCTTGTACAGGTTTACGGATACAGCAGGAGCTTCAGAAATTTCCCGAGGACCAACGGTACGATGCTTCGAGGGTGATGTACGGTCTGACCAACATCCTCCGATTCAGGATGGGTGACGATCTAACTCAGATTAGCGCCGATAATTTCGGTTCTACCATCACAATCCCTGGAGGCAGCGTAGGAATACCACTTGGTGAGAACAGCTTCTTAAAATGTATCAAAGTTGAATTAAAACTGACTTTACAACGTAGGTTTCGTCGGTGTGTTATCCCCTCTGATGAAAGACCTTCCAGAGTGCAGCCTGAAGTTCGGCAAGCCGGTCGGTCTCATAAGGTGGGGCGCTGTTCAGAGCAGGAGCAAGGGCCCCAGGGCGGTGGTCCAGTGCTGTGACGGCGAGGAGTTCTGCGGCGACTATGTCATCATCACCGTCTCCCTAGGGGTCCTGAAGGAGCACGCCGAGAAGATGTTCTGCCCTGCCCTGCCAGGGAACAAGATGGAAGCCATTAAATGTCTAGGTAGGGAACTTTTTAAAGCTATGCCTACCTGCAGAAATACTTCATCAAAAAAATCATCCCCTCTTGAACTAAAGACTTTAATTAAACTTGTCTGTTTTTTTTTTTTCAGTGAGTAATTTTTGATTAGGTAAAAATATATTTATAAAAAAATATTTTAACAAAATTGACGCAAAGGTTTCTTCAATTAATTTTTCAACTTTTCACGGGTGGAAAAATACCTTCAATTATTATACTACAAATAAATAACTTTTGGCAATAGCCGTTGAAACGATCCAGTCGAGTGGTGTGACGTCACATATGTTCTACGGGCAATATGGATCGTCTCAAATATTTTAGCACTTAAAAATAATTTAGTATGGTTAAGTATGATTAAACTTAGAAACTTATTTTTCGCACCATATATTTAGAGAGTTTTCCACCTCTCATTAGCGTGTCCACTAATTTCACAGGTCAACATTTGATCTAGGGACAATCGTGAGTGACCATAGTTTTTTTGGGTCGCTGATCACGAACGAATCCGAGGTCGATTAAGCTCCATCAATATCAGGTTCAAGGTGATTTGAAGGTCAAATCAAGAAATGACCTCCAAAAAATCTGAAAAAATTCATTTTTAGAGGTCACTGAATCCGAATCCGAGGTTTGTTTACCCCTACGATACACCCTAGGGGTCATTCAAGGTCATTTCAAGGTCATTCATGAAGTATTTTGAATAGAAAAGTTAAAATTAGTCTGAAAAATCTGAAAAAATTCGTCTGACTGCTTTTGAGGTCACTGAACGCGAATCCAAGATTATTTAATAAAAATACTGATCAACTCAGGAACGTTATCCTTGTCATGGTATCGATTTTCGTATGTTTCGTTGTTTTTGCATCCCTCCTAAAACCAGCCACGTATTCTGATACATTTGCATTTTACACTTTTTTTACTTTTATTATTATTTTTGTCTGTCATATTTAGGTAAAAGACTGAGCAGTAATCAAAATGAGGAAGGGGCAGGGCTAACACAAGCCACTTGCGTAACTGAAAAGACATAAAATGCTGAAAGAATTTATGACTTAATGATATAATGCGTGCTTGACTTCTTTTGCTAATGCAACAACTTGAGGTTTCTAATTAAATTTTGAGTCAAGTAAATCCATTGAGATTCATTTTGACTGTGTCAGCATATGGGATAGTCATCTGCCAACATTCTTAATCAGAATAGTAGAACGAAAGTAAACCATCAGAAAAAGAGACTATATCTCCATACAAACGTGGTAGATGGTTATACATAGACAGATGGAAACTCTGTGAAGACCTTTAATAACCTCCAGATCAACTCAGTGTCCCCGAAAACATTTCAATACACATTTTTTTACACAACTTTTCCTAAATTTAACCTTCAAATCACCTTGAACTTGATGTGATGGAGCTTAATTAACCTTGGATTCGCGTTTAGTGACCTCAAAAACATTCAGACGAATTTTTTCAGATTTTTCAGACTGATTTTAACTTTTCTATCCAAAATACTTCATGAATGACCTTGAACCGACCTTGAATGACCTCTAGGGTATATCGTAGGGGTAAACAAACATCGGATTCGGGTTCAGTGACCTTTAAAACATAAGCATTAATTTTTTCGGATTTTTTGGAGGTCATTTCTTGATTTAACCTTCAAATCACCTTGAACCTGATGTGATGGAGCTTAACCGACCTCGGATTCGTGATCAGCGACCCAAAAAACCTCTAATTTGCCATAGTCACTTCTGACGATTGTCCCTAGATCAAATGTTGACCTGTGTTTTTATTTATCATATAAGAACAATAGGGTATTTTCTTTCCCAACTTTGAACTTGAACACAAAATGGGAATAGGTTAAAAATATGGGATTCGTATTTTCTCTTTTTCCATTTTGACCTCATTTAAGTCATAAAAAGAATGTGAAATATGAATTGTAACCTCACTAAGCAAAAATTTCAAATCCACTGTCAAATGTTTTAGTTTATAGAAGTGGCAACATGACTGCTCACTGCTTTCATATTTTTATGAGCAATTCGTTCAGTGTTGCCAAACCTATCAACTAAACTGACAGACATAAACAACGCTAATATAATAGCTACAAATTGTTTAGTAAAATCATCTCTAGTTGTGGATTAAAAAGAAACTTAAAATTACTATTGGAAAATTGATTTTTAAAGGAAAAAAATATTTTAGGTAATATCGTCAGGCAAATAAAATATTAATTAATTTTCTTTTTATAGAAATTTTCAAATAGAGTGGTTTTAATTGGCATTTATATGTATAAATTACTTTTACAAGTAATTTCACTTCCAAATTTAATATACTGTTTACTTTTTTTAAGATTTTCTGTTGACCGTATGTGCCAGTAAAAACATTTTTTTATGCACTGACTTTTTTCATGTGAATTTTTCACCTTAAGTAGTTGAATTAATTAAAATTTTGTACCACCAGAAAAAACTTTTTAATACACGTAATGAGGTCTAAAAATTTTCGGCCTACTTGCCTATTTTTCTAGTATTTATTCTAAACAAAATTATCGGTTTCCCAATGCGAGTGACATGTGTTGAATTTTGAATCGAGTGAAAAGTTCTCAATTTTTTTTTGTGAAACTCTTCTCATATGGCGTTTTCAGAAAACATTGCCGCTGAAGAATTTTGTAGGAAAGAAAATGGAGCAGTATTGTCGTTCATCGAAGACAATCCTTGTGATAATAACCTTTTGTAACTAATTGATTTCAAAAAGGCCACAAATTTTTGGACTTTACTGCGTCTATAGCACGGTAAAATTCAATTCACTTCATTATTCCTTGACCTGGACATATTTTTTTAGGTTATGGTGCCTCCGACAAGATATTCCTGGACTACCAGCGCCCGTTTTGGGTAGGATCGGAGGGAAGCGTCAAATTGGCTTGGTCCCAGGACGAACTGGCCCATAAGACAGACTGGACAAAGGGCCTCGCTTTCATTAGGGAAGTGGAAGGAAGCAAGCACGTCCTGTGTGCTTACATCTCAGGTCCTGAGTCGATCCTCATGGAACACGCCAGCGACGAGGAAGTCGCAGAGGGCATCACCAAGATCTTAAGGCAGTTCACAGGAGACGCCTCCCTGCCTTATCCCTCGGCTATCCTACGGTCTAAATGGTCCTCGGATCCTTATTTCTGTGGCGCATTCAGTTGCATGAACTTAAGTTCTAACGTTGGACATCAGTGCGATCTTAGTTGTCCCGTTCCCGGGGCCTGCGAACCTGTGGCTCCTATATTACTCTTCGCTGGCGAAGCGACTTGTGCTGGTCATCACTCTACAATTCAAGGTGCGCGAATGAGTGGCATAAGGGAAGCGGAGAGGGTCGTACAACTAACGAAGAAATACAGAGGACCGCCACCCAAGGATTGTGTCTGAACGCGTCAGATATCTAGTACATTATTTATTTACATAAGTTTTGTTTAATTCAACTAGTACTTTTGTATAGAATATAATATATCTACTGTATAAGTTTTTAGCAATAAATATTTTGATGATTTATTTCCAATTGTAGCAGATACTCGAGGATTTATCTAGAATCATACTCAAGAAAGAGGTAATTTAAATATATTTGCGGTCTTGAAAGGTATCATTATCCCCACACTTTTATCCTGCAAGACAGTTCTTTAGAGTATTTCGAAGCACTGCCGTCAATTCTCGTCTGTCGTGTTTCCCAGTGTAGATCATGGCGGATCTGTTTTGAGGTGGATGTGAGAGGGGGCAAGCAAAGTTTTTCTGGATTATCTCCAGTACAATTCACATAATAAAAGTGTAGCTCCCAGATCTGGGCGAGATCCGGGACATTTTCAAAATTGCAAAAATTTAAAAAACTAGCTATGTTATCTGAGTTTTTTACTTATATCTTGAAACCTATACATTTTGGAAGAATATTGAAGAGGAAAAAAGTTTTAGAATTGAATTTTACACTATATACAGTAAGTTAAAAATGTTTATATTTATTACCGATGTTGCAAAATAGCAATAATTTATGAAAAAAAGGCCAAAAATCAAGGTTTTTGGATAAATTTTTAAAATTTTTCAATTATTTCGAGGGCATTCTAGTGTTGGTAAAAGAAACTTAATAGTTTAATAAAACAACACACCAAATTTCATTAAAATCGGTTGGATAGTTTTCGCAAAATAATTTTTTGAAAAAATTTTTGCACAGACTCAAATAAAGCATCTAGATACTTGAAAAATTTTTTCACATAGAAAAGACCGCTCAATCTTTCAAATGCTTTTTGAAAAATTGAAATCGGTTTATTAGGACGGCCATAGTAAATTTTTAAAGTTACACTCTTTTTTTTGTTTTTAAACATTTATCAATTTGCAATTAAGTTTTTTTCAAAAATTAAAATTTTAAAGTACTCGGGAAAAAACAGATAAATTCCGTTTATTGGTTTTCGAGATATAAGCGGTCAAAGTTTATCGGCATTTACCGTTAATTTATAAACAATTTAGCAATAATTTTTTATCCAGTGGCTTCGTTTTTCTGAGTTCTAAGTTAGAAAAAATGTTCATATCCATAAGTTATTGGCAACATAGATAAATCAATCACGCACGAAAAGTGAGTCAAAACACGAAAAGTAGGGGAGGGGGGCTTTCGCTCCGAGACTGAATTCGGCGGTTCAAAATACGAAGGTACGAAAAAAATTGCATTATCTTGGCTTCTAATGGAACAATTTCGATCTTTTTTTAATCCGATGTCTCGCGAGCCAAGGAATTCGAATATCGTGATGCCAACTGTCTAATTTGCACATATTTTGTTATAAACAAAGTTTATTATTTATGCATTAAATATACTGTATATTTTACCCTATGCTATTGCATTGTTTCAATGAAAAAAATTGTTTACGTATATATTTCAACACTCTGAATATGAATATATTTAGTTATAATTATTATAATTATTTAAATAATTTTTGCCTAAACAAATTTAAAAAATATATGTTTTTTTATAACTTATGGGTATGAAAATTTTTTCCAGCTTAGAACTCGGAAAAACGAAGCCACTGGATCAAAGATAATTGCTAAATTGTTTATAAATTAACGGTAAATGCCGAAAAACTTTGACCGCTTATATCTCGAGAACCAATAAACGGAATTTAACTTTTTTCAAAAAAGAAGCGTCTTTCCGAGTACTTTAAATTTACAATTTTTGAAAAAAACTTAACTGCAAATTGATAAATGTAATCTAATTGTTTAAAAATAAAGAAAGACAACTTTAAAAATTTACTGTGGCCATCCTAATCAACCGATTTCAATTTTTCAAAAAGTATTTGAAAGGTTCAGCGGTCTTTTTTATGTGATTTTTTTTTAAGGATCTAGATGCTTTATGTGAGGCTATGCTAAATTTTAAAAATTCGAAAATTTTTTTTCAGAATTTTTTTCAAGTATTTTGCTAAAACTATAGAACCGTTTTAATGAAATTTGGTGTGTTGTTTTATTATACTATGAAGTTTTTTTTTACTAAAATTAGAATGCCCTTGGAACAATTAAAGAATTTAAAAAAATCTTGATTTTTTACCTTTTTTTTCATCAATTATTATTGCTATTTTGCAACATCGGTAATAAATTTAAACATTTTTAACTTCCAGTATATTGTGCAAAATTCAATTCTAAAACTTTTTTCCACTTCAATATTCTTCCAAAATGCATGGGTTCCAAGATATAAGTAAAAAACTCAGATAAAATAGGTATTTTTTTAAAATTTTTTAAACATTTTTGCAATTTTGAGAATGTTCCGGACCTCGCCCAGATCTAGTGATCTACACTTTTGTTATGCGAGTTGTACTGAAGGTATTCTAGCAAAAATTAGCTTGCCCCCTCTTACACCCAAGAAGTGGAATATTTCGACAGATCCGCCCTAATCTAGTGAGGTTTATTTTTTGTATAAGTCCTAAAGCCTTCACGCATTTATTCAGGATGTGTAACGTAGATTATTTTGTTCATTTCCAACTCAATCAGATTGAATTCTCTCCTGATTACCGTGTTGTCCAAATGTTTCTTCAATCGACAGTGAGTCGTTAAAAATTCTGCGATTTCTCTGAGCCTGATTTTATTCACGTTCTCTTCTGCTAATATTCCCTTAGCTTGAGTCTATCTTGGTTTTAAACCAAGTATTCACGATGTTCTGTTTGCATCCATCTCCTTAAAGCTTGCTCTGCGTCGCTGTAAGAAATCCCAAACTTCATCTGCTCTCTCATTTCCTTCGATGTCTTTATATTTAACACCTAATATAACCTAACTGTGTTTTTATATCTCAGTTCATTTAGAAATTGTAAACATTCTCAAATAAAGCCTCTTTTTCAGTTTAAGGGCTTTGCTGCAACCTCACTATCAGAGAATATGTAGGTAAGCCTTCGTCTGTAGCCCCTTTACAAATTTTCAGTTAAACACACACTAATAGAGAATTTTGAAGGGAACATTGTCGGGAAGGCTTCCAGTTTAAAACTTCTTTGTCATCTAGAAAAATCTGGAAAAGCCGACTCATGGGCATCAGCAGTGTTTCGAAAAACAAAATATTTGGAACGAATATAGCCTTAATCTTAGTGATGGGTTTATCATTGCACCTTAATTAATAATTTTTTTTAAAGGTTACGGCAACGTTGACAAGGTATTCCTCGACTACGCGCGTCCTTTCTGGGTGTGGTCAGAAGGAAACATCAAATTCGCTTGGTCCCTGGACGAGCTCTCCAAGAGAAATGACTGGACGAAGGGGCTTAGCGCCATCGAGGAGGTAGAAGGGAGCAAACACGTCCTCTGCGCATACATAAGCGGCCCCGAGGCAGTCCTCATGGAACACGCCAGCGACGAAGAGGTCGCGGAAGGAGTCACCAAGGTATTGAGGGAGTTCACCGGAGATGCCTCTCTACCTTTCCCTACGAGCATCCTGAGATCCAAGTGGGCCTCCGATCCATATTTCTGTGGGACTTACAGTTACATGAACGTAAACTCTCACGTGGGGCACCAGTGCGATCTCAGTTGTCCCGTGCCTGGGTCCTGCGATCCTGTACCGCCTATTTTGTTATTTGCTGGTGAAGCAACTTGCGCTGGTCACCATTCCACCATTCACGGAGCCAGGATAAGCGGTATAAGGGAGGCGGAAAGGATCATACAACTAACGAAAAAATACGGCGGGCCTCCGCCCAAGGATTGCGCTTGAGGTTATTTATTTAATAAGTAATACACTTTTTTTGGTATTGTTCGATACAATTGGTCCTTTCGTTTACAATATAATCTCAACAATATTATCTACTATATTTACAACAACTATTCTCAATAAATAACTTACAATTAATTAAATTATATTAAATCATTGTTTTCGTTTGCTTTTGTGAACTTACAGTAAGGCAAGTATTTCGTTACAGCGGCAAGAAAGTGCAATTAAATATAATTTTTCAATATAAGTACCTACATGCAAAGCGTGGAAGAAATTGCAGGTCAAATAACTAAGAATTTTAAATACTTTTAATACTTTTCAGTTAGCTTGAAACTTTCCCGCGATAGTAGGCCTTACTGCATAAGGACAATAAGTTAAACTTTCTTAGCGAAAACCTCATCAGCAGTTTCCTTGATTTCCTTCCAAGAAATATCAATATCGGACTCCTCTGTGACCTTGGAACATATCGCCAGCCTCAAGAAGTAAGTATCCCTGATCTTCGAGGGTACCAAGTGGATGACACCCCTACCATTCAGTCTCTTGAGAAACGCCTCGTTTGCTTCATTCGTGTCTTTCAGTCGGAAGCACACCAGACCCATTAGGACTTCCTCAGTGATCTCGAACCTGTCATCGGACCTTACCAAGGACTCAAAGTAGTGTGCTAGACCGATTTGCCTGCGGATGTGAGCCTGGAGGTTCTCGACTCCGTAGAGTCTCAAGACGAACCACAGTTTGAGGGCTCTGAATCTGCGACCTAGAGGGATCTGCCAGTGGCGGTAGTCGGGGGCTGAGCCCTGCTGGGCGTGCCTGAGGTACAGGGGGTCCACGTTGAAGGCGTTTACTAACCATGATGGGTCCTTCAGCCACATGGCCGAGCAGTCGAAGTTCACCACCAGCCACTTGTGCGGGTTGAAGTTGAAGGAATCCGCGCATTCTATGCCTTTCATTAAGTATCTGCAAACAAGAAACAGTTTTGGAGGAAAAAAATAGTGAATTGTATCTAGTAGCAAAGGTCTATCATTCTCAGACTGTGTTAGATATTTTTCCACCCATCTTTCAAACATTGCTCAATTTTGAAAAAAATATGACTAATTTTATTGACAAATAAGTGTAGCCTCGAAATTCCTAACAAAAAAATGTTTGTATAGCAAGGGAAACATATTAACTTTATCTGCCCCCACTATAGTAAATATACTAATAATACACGGGAGGTAAGTGATAACATGTACATATTGGTCATTATGGAGTGCAAACAAAGTGAAGTGAGGAGCAATACGTTGAGAATACTTTCCAGCATAAATTTAAGATGCTTCTAAAGAGTTACCATGACAAGTACCATAAACAAAATGCATAACGGTCCTTTCCACCTTAGTATTTAATAACTTTTTATTTGGATTACACATGTGTCATCTTTTTTAGGTTAGTTTAATATATGGTACTTAGCACCGTGGACAAATAGTTCAAACGAGTCTACGAGATATAGAAAACGTAGTCTTTTATCGGCATACCTGACTCGAAAACCAAGGAACCAGTCATTAGTTGTTAGTGAAATGTAGAATGATTTCTTAACTATAGAGTAAAGGTGGGAAATTATATTTTCACGCTACAAAATTTTCAGCAACAGAAACCTACTACAAAGTTAAATTAAGGATATACTACATAATCATATACAAGATACTAACCTGTACTCAGGACAAATAAATGCTGATCCTGCATAAGCTGCATCTACATGGAGCCAAACGTTATACTGATTGCATACAGGACCAATTTCATCAAGCTTGTCAAATGTGCAGGATGACGTCGTCCCCAATGTATTTACAGCCTACAAAAATGCAATAATATTTGTGCAACATTGCAAAACAGGTTTTGCTTTGGTTGAGAGATGTTTAAATTCTTAACAAGTTTACATCATCCACGATTTTTTTAAATTTCGCAATAAGTACGGTTAGCATTGCGAAATTGACCATTTTAAAAAATCTTAGGTAAGTTCCGTATTGACCTCTATACTCACTGCCAATAGAATAATACTAGAAAATCATAATGCTGTTAAACCAAGGCTAATACACCGAGTTTGTTGAACTTTTCTGAAATTAGAGTAAGGTCGATTTCATTCTCGAGATACCTAATTGAACCCATTTTTTTTCACTAAAGAGAGTGTTTAGTTTTTAGCCAATACATGACCCTGCACAGAGCATAGTCGTGCCACTTATTTTGTGGTATTTTTTAACGTGTTTAGGCTTCGAGGTATACTAAAACAATGAGTTATTACTGCTAGGAAGGTCGCGACTAATTTCATGAATATATGTAACAGATACATCAAGATTTATTAGCTGAGTACGCAGAAAATTGAATAAAATTATTTGTATATCTTTTTCTTCAGAATTAATGGCATTATACAGGTTGGCCAAATGAAAACGAAACAGAGCCATTTTCAGGAACTAATATTTCTTTTGAAATCTCTTACAATTCTCTTTACAACAGACTTTAAATTTTATAATTTCGCCCAATACTTTGAAAAAAAAATACATTTTAAAATTTAAATTATGTTTAGTAGCTTACTTACTACTTAGTTGATTAAATGTTCAAACTGATGACCGCCCGCTTCCATGCAAGTATAAAGATTTTGTTCGAAACGTTCGCGCACATTCCGAAGCATTTCCGGAGTGATTCGACTGCATTCGTCGACGATTCTTTGACGCAAATCTTCTAGCGACGCTGGCTGTGTTTTATAGATTTTACTTTTTAGGTATCCCCACAAAAATAAATCAAGGGGCGATAAATCCGGTGATCGTGGAGGCCACAATCCAATTCCGTAGAAAACGTTGGTCCAAATACTGACGGACAATTAACGCATAATGCGGAGGAGCACCGTCCTGTTGAAAAATCAAATGATCTTGATCATACTCTGGAACATTTTCAATAATATCAGTCAAGGCAGGGTCAATAGCGTCTTCCAGTAATTGCAAATACATTTGGCCAGTCAAATTACCAGGTAGAAAAAAGGACCCACCAGCCGGTCACCGAAAATTCCTGCCCATACATTTAATTTTTCCGGTTGCTGTGTATGCACCCGTGAAAAACTCTTGGGTTTGAATCGGACCAATAGCGGCAATTGTGACGATTTACCGTCCCGTTCAAGAAAAAACTGCATTCGTCAGAAAAATATATGTTAAAAAGGAACTGTGGATCGTTCCCTGCTCGCTCACTCATTATTTCTCAAAATTGCAAACGGCGGTCATAATCATCCTCATGAAGTTCTTGGACTAAATGTATTTTGTATGGATGGAATTTATTCTTCTTCAAAATGGTTTGTATGCTAGTTCGATTGATCCTGGACATAGATGCCAGCTGCCTCGTACTTAATGTAGAATCAAGATGTCCCGAAACTGCAACTTCACTAGCTTCATTAACTATAGGTTTTTCAATTTCTCGTTTTTTATTAGCTACGTTCCCTTTCTCTAGAAATTTTTTTTCTAACTCTAGAACATACTTCCTCCTGACATGTCAATATTGATGTTGTTCATTAAATAGCTGAGCTGTTCTATTCGCACATTTATTGTTCATAAAATAAAGCGAAATGATATCTACCCTTTCCGCAATGGAATAAACCATAGTGTTTAATTTTCAAAAACACAATTAAATAAACTACCAACCAACGCTTCCAAATAATACTAGAAAATAATTTGGAATCCACTATTTTTACGTTCATTGTGTGTGTATAGCATTCATTTATGTTTTTTACAATTGTGTTTTTTTTACAAAAGTGATAACAAATCGCCAAAAACCAATGTAAAGCAAGAAATACTAAATTTATACCATTGGCGTACCTAACTCGAATGACTGATATTTTTACCGTTACTAATTATTTGCACATAAGTTTCAACTTTAAAATCAAAATTCTTAATAAGTATTGGGCGGAATTATAAAATTTAAAGTCTGTTGTAAAGAGAATTGTAAGAGCTTTGAAAAGAAATATTACTCAACCCCCAATGCCATTTAAATATTTTGAGGTGATGCTTACCCTTGCTTGGGGGTGAAAGTGGCGGAGTCAAAAATACCAGCAAAGAATGTCCTGCTTTAATCTAAAATCGACGTGTCTAAGCGTTTATCTACAATCTTGACGCAGTTCCTGAAAATGGCTCTGTTTCGTTTTCATTTGGTCATATGATGGATTGTTGTTTTCATGAATTTTTAACTCAGACGCATTTTATATATCTACATTTTAATGAGATTGTAATTCATTGAGTAATACGGATTATGTATAAGATTAAATAACAAGGTAATAATTGAATTCGATCTATCTATTATTTTCAAAATAGTTATTTACTTTACTTTACTAAAAAAGAAATGAAACCAACGTAGCTAAATTGATTATACAATTTTATAAATTTAAAGTGTATGAATCCCTGAAATTTTGACTTACATAGAATGGTATCAAACCAGCATCGAGATCCTCTTTTATAGCGTTCTCTAGTATTTCCCCACTAAGCCTGTTGGTGTCATCAGGCTGCAAAGAACGCATTTGGACGCCACCTAGTAAACCTGCTCGTTCCACGGAGGAATGGCTTTGACCTAGAAAAAGTCAAATGTAAAAAAAATCAATATTAGCAAAAACTTGGATTACTAACTCGATGTGTAGGCGACCAACTTAGCGACGATATCCGCATCGCTCATCTCTGGATGTTCTTTCTTCACTCTGTCAATGGCACGAGCTTTAGCTCCGAGAAGAGCTACCAAGGTGGCCTCACTGGCAGTACCTTGAATAACACCTCCCCCTTTACCACCTGAACATGCCAGGAACTCCTTGGGCAAATCCAACATCTTGCCTAGCCAGTCCATCATGACCACCTCCAGTTCTGTGCAAGCAGGGCTTGCAATCTGGAAAATTTAAACACACCTTTTCTAGTAGATGACTAATTAAGGGTTATTAAAGTAAAAATACATAACCCTTACAACAATTAAACAAAAATTAATAAAAGTGAAGAGCCTGCTTGGCTATCTACATGTATTTTGGATAAACTGAACTGGAATCCGTTGTTAGTTTTACTCAAGCACTTACAGAATTTGAGGAAATCGCTAAAACTGAGTAAAACTAATGACGGATTAGGATTCAAAGTGTCAAAATATATAAATGGATAGCCTAGTGGTATCTCTTTTTTTATTTTGTGTGCCCGTGCTATCAGTGATCATTAACACAACTTGTTAACGTCAGCTATCACGCTCGAGCCATTCCTTTTAAACTCGAGAATGGAGGAAATGAGGCTTTCCTACACGGGGAATTAGCTTCTTTTATGTTCTCGATTTCTAGAGGAGTTTCAAAGCACCCCTAGGGACAAATTGTCTCGTCGTCGAGGCCTTTTGTCTTCAAAGTCATAAATCAATAAAGGGTCTTATAAGTAAGCGGTTCATTTCTAGAATTAAGATTGTTAAAGATGGAACTTATATTTTTTATTTTAGGAGTAGGTTTCCTTGTATTCCTTTATTAAAAATTATTCAGTCCGCTTGCAAATAATAATTCATCACATATTTAGCTGTTTATGTCACTATTTGTCAATATCGACAGAAAGCGTAAGATAAATAAAGAATTCTAATATTTTCCCACTTGAAGTGTTTATTTATTCAACAGTAATAAAAAAACTGGAAAACCTTCACTTTTTGCTTTACATTTTCTGTCTCATAGTTGGTCGTGACCTACACAAGTCGCGTATGGTCTGATTTTGCGACCGCAAATTGGGAGAATTGGGAAATTATCGAATTTGTTTGCAAGTGTATAACAATAAGTTGAAACTGATTTATAATAAGAGCGCAGGTATAAATTCTAGGTCATACAGGCTGTTTCAAAACGAACAGTACATACTGTAATGATAGACTGGGGTAATTACGAAATGACGACTTAAGAAAGTTAACATTTGTAAATATACGAGCGCTATGCATTTTCACTAAGACTTATTTTGGTTTATAGCTTTTGAACCATTTGAGGAGACTAACTAATTTTTGATATACATACCTCATTTGCCACAAAAGCAACATACTCTTTAAGTCAGCATTACAAGATTGTAAAGCCAGATTGGGAATATTCCCATTCTTCTGTAGGCACACAGAAAAAATCCCCTTATATATTTTGTCTACTATTTCATATAGCATATTGAAAGCACATGAATTAATGACAAAAAACATGCATTTAATTTTTTCGTCATGCTTTCCTAACTTTTGTATTAACATTAATATTGTTGCGTTTAATTTCGGTAGCACTATAGATTTTTACTGTAATTTCATACACCAATTAAAAAAATTGACAACAAATGATTCAAAAGCTGTGGTTTAGTATTTTTTTTATTTTCTGTCTTTATTAGGTCTTCCGATTACATGGTTTAAATTAATGACATTGTGACTGAATCACCCTGTATACTTTACTGGCAGGGTGAATAATATGTTAAAAAGTTATGTGTCAAAATTTCTTAATATAAAAGGTGATCTTTGAGTATTTAGTAAACCTTAAAGTAGTAAAATATTGTAACTTGTTGACACTGATTTTCTTTTTCTTTTACTGGATTTAATATCCAGAATTAAACCGCAAATATTTTGCTTCTTGCTTATTTATTAATTATGATAAAAATGGACTTTATTATCCTTACAATATTTTTTGTACAATACATTGATAGATTATAAACAATAACTAGTAAACAAAATTTGTCTCCCGTGAAACTTTATTTTAGGTTACTGAATATTCAAAGATGACTTTTTATATTCAGAAATTTTAGCACAGAATTATACTTCGTAAGGAACGCGCTAGCCGGCCGACTACAAAGCGTTGGAAAGTTGAAGCGAAACAGCTGATTTACCCAGTCGTCTTGAATTTTGCAATAGGTTATTAACAAAGTGCTATGGACAGACGAGTGAGTGTTTTTTAGCTATACTGTCATTTTAAAAAAGTAGGTACCATACCTACCACCCTTTAAACCGAAATAGGTTAAGTCGCACAATGAGGTATACCTACTAACTATAAACTGAATAATTAATGGAACATAATACTACAAACTCATATTCAATTATAAAACAGTGAAAATGTTAACAATATTAAAAATGCTTTTACTAAATAACCTAACATTCTAAAACAAGTATTCTCCTTATACATTTTTTTTATTAACAAATATTTAATATTAAAAATGTAAAAAAATATCTTATTCATTCATGTGTCTAGGTCTGTTTTTGTCATTCACTATTAAAAACGCAGTAAAAACTAGGTTAGTGACCGAATACGGTAGGTCAAGATTCACTCTCGATAAACCTTTGTAGGTCAGGAGCGGTTCGAAAAGCGGTGTAAATAATGATTTGAAAATTTTTTTTTTCAGCGTAAATATGCATTTTAATTTTTTTTTAATCGCGTATTCGTATTCTACTAATTTTTCCGTCTTCCCTTAAAATTAATGGCATTATGACTGAATCACCCTGTATGTACATACAGTTATGAAATACAATTAATTTTCAAATATTTCCAATTCTGCAATAATTGAAGAAAAAAAACTAGAACGTTTAAGCTATGAAACTTTAACCTATTTGTTTTTTTTGATCATTTCAGTTTTCGTTGTGCTCTTTTGGAAGATGAAGTGACTTTTTCATGAACTGTTACAACGTTTCGCTCTAGTTTTCCTTTCTTTATTTCGTATCGACGTTACTTACCCAGGAGAAACCGATACATGCGATTGCACCGCTTAGAATGTCTGCAACTATTGCGGGGTAGGAGTTGCCCGTTGGGAAGTAGGCATGGAATCTGGGTGAATGCCAGTGCGTCACCTGCAATAGAAACATTAGCTAATAAAGCCTATGAATTATTCAATATTACAAGCTAGACAAAACAGCTGGTTCATAAAGAGTGTATGAAGATTGCTTCTCAGAATACATTTTCGAAGAATTCTTAATCAATTATCCACTTAAAATTGGTTCTAATGTTTCAAGCGCAGTTCTAAAAATTACCTCTTTTTTTTTAAAGCTGTGCAACGGTAACCATGACCACCGCAGTAAACACTTTATAATTAGGGGCGAGCTACGAGGGGCCCACATATTCAGTGTTTTTCAGATGAAGAGGTAAATTGACTGCACATTACAAATTTAATAATTCCTTTTCAATGTGTTTCATAAGTCTTAATATTTAAACAATTGACCAAGGAAACCTTTACAACAAAAAGACCAGTCAAGGATTATTTTTTGTTAAAGTATTTTTGCCAAAAAAAAAACAAAAATTGCACAATGACAAAAGCAGACATCATTTGAAATCTTTCGTTCGAGGATGCAAATGCAAATACAGATGTAAAAATTTACTTCCTTGGTCTGGTGTAAATATGATTTCTTTTGTCTGGTGTAAATATGGTTTTTATGTTTTAGATTAGTGCAAAAAACAGAACAATTTTTTGGAATTAATTTAAATTGGTTTAATTCTTCAAAGTAAAGTAGAATATAACCTCTTTTTGTATCTGGATACACCATTACCAATTAATACTTATGTCGCAATGTTGCTTTCAATATTTTCAGTTTTAAATGGAGACCAAAATATACANATAATTTTTGTATGATTGGTAAGCATTTGAAGTAAGGTTTTATTAAAAATATTTCTTAATTAATTCTCTTACTTATGTCTGACTATAATTTATATTTCTCCCATCCATTCTTTTATCTTGCCCATCCCCCCCCGCATTGGCTGGTGACGCCCTTGCACGTAGAAAAATCAAACCTGAACAAGGTTGATATACAAAAATAATAAAAAAAACAAAAGAAACACGAAAACTAAACATAAAACATATATGTATCCACAATCATGAAAACATAAATATTGGCATAAATAAATTAAATAGAAAATTACGGAAAAATTTGAAGATTAACGTTGGTTTTCGAAAAGTCCGCCAGAAGATTGAATAAATACTATTTTTTTAAGGGGAAAATATTCGTAAAAAAAGTACAGAATGGCGACTTCTTGCAAATCGTGTTGATACACGTGGTATAACTGACGCAAATTTGAATATGGGGAAAATTTTCCCTTAATCTAGAATGAGTATGGTCAGAGAAATACGTAAGGGGTTTTGGAAAACAATAATTTTTGTATGATTGGTAAGCATTTGAAGTAAGGTTTTATTAAAAATATTTCTTAATTAATTCTCTTACTTATGTCTGACTATAATTTATATTTCTCCCATCCATTCTTTTATCTTGCCCATCCCCCCCCGCATTGGCTGGTGACGCCCTTGCACGTAGAAAAATCAAACCTGAACAAGGTTGATATACAAAAATAATAAAAAAAACAAAAGAAACACGAAAACTAAACATAAAACATATATGTATCCACAATCATGAAAACATAAATATTGGCATAAATAAATTAAATAGAAAATTACGGAAAAATTTGAAGATTAACGTTGGTTTTCGAAAAGTCCGCCAGAAGATTGAATAAATACTATTTTTTTAAGGGGAAAATATTCGTAAAAAAAGTACAGAATGGCGACTTCTTGCAAATCGTGTTGATACACGTGGTATAACTGACGCAAATTTGAATATGGGGAAAATTTTCCCTTAATCTAGAATGAGTATGGTCAGAGAAATACGTAAGGGGTTTTGGAAAACAATAATTTTTGTATGATTGGTAAGCATTTGAAGTAAGGTTTTATTAAAAATATTTCTTAATTAATTCTCTTACTTATGTCTGACTATAATTTATATTTCTCCCATCCATTCTTTTATCTTGCCCATCCCCCCCCGCATTGGCTGGTGACGCCCTTGCACGTAGAAAAATCAAACCTGAACAAGGTTGATATACAAAAATAATAAAAAAAACAAAAGAAACACGAAAACTAAACATAAAACATATATGTATCCACAATCATGAAAACATAAATATTGGCATAAATAAATTAAATAGAAAATTACGGAAAAATTTGAAGATTAACGTTGGTTTTCGAAAAGTCCGCCAGAAGATTGAATAAATACTATTTTTTTAAGGGGAAAATATTCGTAAAAAAAGTACAGAATGGCGACTTCTTGCAAATCGTGTTGATACACGTGGTATAACTGACGCAAATTTGAATATGGGGAAAATTTTCCCTTAATCTAGAATGAGTATGGTCAGAGAAATACGTAAGGGGTTTTGGAAAACAATAATTTTTGTATGATTGGTAAGCATTTGAAGTAAAAAGTTCAATTTTTGACAAAAAAAGGGGCAATCGAAAATCCCGTAAGTACTTTTCTTCGGAAGTGTTATTTTAAAGATATGGTCAAAATTTGGAGTGAACAGAATGAAAATTGTTGGAATTATGCTTGGTGCCGTTTTAAAATATTGTGTTTCAAGAAAAACGCCTTTAAAGTTTTGATATATATCTACTCTATACTAACATACCTTCGTTTGAAAATGCTTCTAATTGAACACAAATTCTGTCTTACGACATGTGTTAGTAGTATTAGAGAAGTTAAGAATCAAAAGGTAAGTCATTAACCTGTATCCTTCTAGCAGCTAGTCATTTTTAAGCAGTCCGACGCGCTTGGCAAAGAGCTGGGAATTTCAAAGAAAAAAATAATTTGTCCAAATATAAAACTTCTTTCCTCTTAATCTAGAACGTTCAAAGCATCTTTTAAATCAATTAAAAAAAATAGATTTTCTAAAAATTATACAATGGTGTTACCCCTTAGAGAAACTACACCGTTCGTTACTTCAAAATTATTTCTCATTCTATTTGCAACTTTGTTACAGATAACTTTCAGCATTATATATATATTTTTTATTTATTAGTTTTATAGTGCTATATGTTAAGCTATGATACATAATTTTGTATAATCAACCTCGGTTAGATTTAACTTTTCAATGCGTCAATCTGTTAATGAAAATTCTTTTGGAAAAATGCAGTTCCTGTTGTAAACCAATTAAAGCCAAAGTTCAATCATTTATTATGCAATTTACTCCAAAATCTACAGCACTAGCAACTGAAATATTAGATGTGTATATTAACTTGTCATTAATCTTCATGAAATATTAAAATAATAACTGTTTTCATAACAATTTAAGGCCCAAAGACTACTACTATTACTATATTACTTTATTATCAGTTTTGCATAAATTATTATTATTCAGCTTTTACTTACACCAGGCATAATAACCCGTTCGATGTCACTCATAACATCTTCCCATTTGTCAGGTGTTTGAGGGGCACTATCTGGGATGAGAGGTCTTAGATATCCTGGTTCCACCGTTGGTACCACTCGCCTTTAAACAAATGGAACAAACGCATAAGTAAAAATAGTCATTAAGATTAAACATTTCTAATATCTGCACTGATTTTTATAAAAATTTCCTTCAGAACATTTATTGAAGAATCTGACCTATGGTAATTAAAAAATCTTTTGTTACAGTAAAAGTAAAAGTAACGGGGGAAAACGAATCTGTCTCATAAGTCATATTTGGTCACTTAGCCAGGTGGGTCAAGGTTCCCAACACCAAGAACCACTTTTACTATCTGCAGGATAAGCTGTAGATAAGTTTAACTGTCGTACCTAGTAGTAACTTTCAAGTGCAATATGATATCTTCAATATGCGGCCTTGGAATACAAAATGGGGAGATAAGATTTGCTGTTTGGCAAACCTATATTTGCACCGTAAGTAGTTGGTTCAGTTTTAGAAATTACCAATAAAAAAATAAAACTACAAGCAATAAGTGAAGTTAAACAGAACTTTGCAGTTATTAATTCAATTTGAACATAGAGTTTATTAATTTAATATATGTGTGAAATTCATATAAACAGGAAGATATATTTCCATAAAACATATATTTTGGCATAAATATGTTTTTAACAATACAGTTAACCAATGCAAGTATTATGAAATGTTTCAACAACTACGTTGTCTAAATCAACTTAATATTAACCTTAGCACATTTTCGTGCGATATGAAAGTTCTACACAAGACAAGCCGTCTATGCTTACCTTTCTCTTATATTCTCGAGATAGTTGGCCACATAATCGATCATCTCCTTCCCGAAGTCCTTAAATTGAGGAGCCTCCATTTCTGCAAGGATAAGTCAAGTCTGTTAAAGTGGATATACACTATTAAGGGGCGGACATTACAAGCAGCACTTGCCTAATAGTTGACGGGTGTACTCATTGCTAAATTACAACTATTATCGTGCACATTTTGTTATTGATAGCCAAGCATTACTTAAACATACGATAACCTTTGACATGATATAATAAATCCTATCCTAAGTAATTATTATCAGACAGGAAGTGTTAGGTATGATAAATGGGACGGTGTATTATTATTATTCGAAACTTCGAAACATTCAAATGTAATGAACAGTTTACTATTTTACAATATTTTTCTATGCATTTTAGTAATAGTTAGAATGATAAAATGTATATTAATTTTTAGTTCTCCTTTTTCGCTAATATCGAAGGCATATTATTAAAATTTTCTCGTTAGCAATTTTCGGAAATATTTGTTATATTTATGTAAACTTACATTTTTCATTTTAGAAAAAAAGATTGAGACTATAAATATATAATACTGCTGACATAAATATAAAAATAGATATTTCTTATTCTAGATTGCGAACAATTTTATTTTGAAAACTGCTTAAAAATATTGGGAAAGTTGTGAAGGTTTTACCAATGATGATAAATTAATTTTTAGTTATATAATCGTAAAAATCTGACAAGGTATCAATCAGTCTCTTGGATTGTAGTTAATATATGTTGTAATAAAACGACTTTGAATGTTGAAGAAAATATTTATATGAACAGATTCCCAAAAGAGATACCCTACTTGTAAAGTAAATCGGATCGAAGATTTTGACAAATGCAGAAATCCAAACATTTACAGAAGAGGCTCCTGATCAAGATTTTTATTGATGAAGGTAATGTACGTTACTCTTAAGGATGTTTTAATTTATAATTATGAAGTTTTTTCTGGTTATCTCAATAATGGGTATTCATCTCATGGGATTTGTAGAAGAGAAGAGAAGAGAAGACGCTCAGACGCTCTTCTCCGCCGATATTATCTGATCCTGGGGCAGAGATTACCTCCATCAAAAGGCATACTGCGGAAAAGCATACGTTGAAGTCTCCATAGAGAATAAAATTGAATTTTCAAATAGAATATACTCATATTCGAAAAGTGGTTGAAATTTTTTATTCAGTTGCTCCGTCAGTAACAATACTTGATAATCCACTGAAAAAATTACAAAAAAAATGAATGAAGAATAAGTGGTACTAGTGAAGTAACTTATCCAATTNTGGACTTATGTATAGCACAAATATTGACATTTTAATTCTGTTTCAAAAATATACTTTAGTTACGTTGAATGAATTTATAAATTTCGAATAAAATTAATATCTCTTCAACACTTTACCGCAGAAGAACCAAATTTGCTACTTGATTTAGGTTTATTACTGGTCTTCTTTGACTATGATTTAAAATTAATTGAAGCACTATAAGGTGTTCATTGGGGATGACTCACCCCTATAATTGTACCGAACTTTATTTTTAAATTGCAATATTTTGGACACCCTGTATATTAGAATAATATATGATAAATTTACATACAGCATAGAACACAGTATTTGTATAGGTACTTTAATGTTTAATTACAAGTGTATTAATTATGGAAATTGGATATTTATGTAAATTTAATACTAATTTAAGTCAAACAATTACTTCACAAGTTTGGGTTAATGAAATATATTAAATTTTAGAAATGTTTGCAACATTATTTCTCAAATTCTCTAAAAAACACTGACCGTATTATTATTGGAATTTTAAGTTTTCGACCAACATTTTTAGATTTTAGAAAATGATTTCCACTTTGTTTTAATCACCTTCGACTAATAATTTGTCGCGAGTTCTTAAATATTAGTATAAATATATACATTCCATTCCATGCACTACCAATATTTAAATATATCCTCTAAAAACTTTTTCTCAAGCCACAACACAAAACAACTACATGCAACAAACACCACCACCACTAACCATCCATTTTTTTTTTGAAACACCAGTTAGTACGCCCGACTTCGAAAAAAAATACTTGTTAGTAAGACAAGACTCCTTGAAATTCAAGAACGAAAAACCACTCGGCGCGCTCTGTCACCCACCTTCGCCGCCGAATAACCTTTCCTGCTGCACTAAAATTCCTGCTACTGTCTCGGGAAAATCCGAATCACCGGTATATCACTACGGACTGGCGGGCAACGCAGAACAGAAGCTCTGCCATCGGCAATCAGCCTTAAATCTCGACCTGGGTGTAGTGGGGCCCCGGTATCGATCATTGCCATCTCCATGTGGCCGGTGAGCCCCTTCACCGGGTTTCCAGCGGCCCTCCAGGAAACAAAAGAGTCGCGGTTGCGGGTATTGCGATGATGCGGTTGTGACGCCGCGAGGGATTCACCCAACTGGATTAGTTGATAAAGGTGGAATTCCACAGCGGCAGTTGACAGTCGTTAACGTGTTTTAATTTGCATAATTTCATTCAATTTGTAGACGTAATGATGTCGGTTTGGTTTCTTCTTTCTTCCACGAAGGCTCCTTTTAAGTTTTTCAACCCAGCAGAATCAAAACTTGCATATGAACTGATTATAGTCCAGTAAAGTTAGACATAAAAAGACAGAATAAGTGAGCGTTTTTACTCTGAGATTTTTTTATAGAAAAGGTCAAAAAACANTCCTGGGGCAGAGATTACCTCCATCAAAAGGCATACTGCGGAAAAGCATACGTTGAAGTCTCCATAGAGAATAAAATTGAATTTTCAAATAGAATATACTCATATTCGAAAAGTGGTTGAAATTTTTTATTCAGTTGCTCCGTCAGTAACAATACTTGATAATCCACTGAAAAAATTACAAAAAAAATGAATGAAGAATAAGTGGTACTAGTGAAGTAACTTATCCAATTAAATTAATCAAAGTAACATAGCTGCTGCATGAAAAAGATTAGAATAAAAAAATATTTTTCGTTCAATGTAACTAGATTATATTTTTGAAACAGAATTAAAATGTCAATATTTGTGCTATACACCGAGTCCACTTAAGTCCAATATCTAGATTAATAAATGATATAACTTATTTTTTTTTCTACAGAGTTGCCTACTTTTCCAAGCTGCAAAATAAAAATATATTTGCATATACAGGGTGTTCAGTTTTTCCTGGGCAGGTACCAACTTAATTTTTTTTAATGGAAACCTATATTTTTATGGCATCGAATTCTACGTGAAAAATTAACGGGACTTTGTGTTATGATCTCTATTAAAATATTGATAGTTTTCGAGATAATCGACTTTTCATTTTTTTTTCTTATGTTACGTCACTTCGAGTAGTTGACATAATTATGATTGTATGACAGCTAGAAATTATTTTTTTTCAGGAACTGTAGATTGAAGATGGCTCTTTCAAAAAACGTATCAAAAGTTGACCTGCGATTTATAGGGGGCAAAAAAAAACCTTCCCAACCTGATAATTTAAAATTTGAAAAATCTTGACTTATTCAAATAGAACACCCTGTGTTTTATGATTTCATTAGATGCCTTAAGCCTATGCTTATACACGGTAGTTTCGTTGTAGTACCAACCTTACATAAATTAATTTGAGTGAAATAAATATAATATATACGAATGAAATTTATACAATATATATTAGCTTGCATATATTTTTCGTGTTTAATGCACGGCAATTAACTTTTTATTTGAATAAAAGTGTCTATTTATTCATTAAGAGCTTGTAAGATTATGGATGAAATCTGGCAACATTGTTATGGCGTGGTGGTAAAAGTTGGGTCAACCGTCATTACTGTCAACTTTGCGCTTATTCCGTAAACATTAATGAACATCCAAGGTACAAAGGGAAAGTAATGACTGAAAAGTAATATAAAATGCGTATGAAACAGAATGTGGATTGATGAGAAAAAAGTAAAATGTGCAAACCGACAATCCATATGATAACTATCAAGAAGTTCAGTGTATGATAGCGAGACGTCGCCCTGTCAAATTGAAGATTATGACAGAACATCTATACTGTTCGTTTTGCAAAGAAATCCTTTCAATTTTTGTTTCAAACTGCTATTATATTGCATTCGATCACGAAAAATTTATTTAATATTAATTATTACTACATATGTTTTCGACTGGAATAATTTTATAGTCTATAATCGAGCTATACAAATATAGCGCGTCAGTCGAAGCGTTAAATACAGCGTACAGTGTTGCCATATTTCCTTTCATTGGATCAGATGTTTGTTCAAATTTGTCAAAACGTTATATATTCATTCCATTATCTCAATAATTACATTGTAAGTGCATATTTTTATTGTTTTAAAATGTTTAGTAATATTTAATTCTTTAATTACAATTTTATTTTCCCGATCCTAACCATTTTTAAGAGCAATATTCA